CAAAAGCACGGAAAAAAAGAATTACACGATTGACTCTCTTGATTAGAATTTTTTTCTATTTCTCTTTTTTTGATGTCCGGAGTTTTATAATAATTCAAACGAATCACCGAAGGTGATTAGTATCAGAGAACACAAAACAAGAAACATATACGGAAAAAAAGAAACATATACGAAAGTAATGATGTCTAACAGAGCACACAATGTCGTTCGTTTTCCTCAGCTGACAAATACGAAAGCCCACCTAAGAGATAACCGAGGGCCAATGACTTAACGAAATCAACCACCGAAATCAAAGAGTACTCCTCTTGTGCGGAGAAATCAAACCCTTTTTTGTTCACAACCATGGAGACTCGGACTGGTAATCTTGGCACATGGTCGAAACTTTCTCCTGATTTGGTGGGATCTATTTTCTCACGACTGAGCTTAGCGGATTTCAATCGCACTAAGATTGTGTGTCGGAACTGAAATTCGAGTTGCAAAATTACAGTAACCCGAAAAAGCGAACCTCCATGACTGATATTGTTTCCCGACGGAGACGGTGGTTGTATGTTGTACAATCCTGAAGAGGATAAGTTTTACAATTCTCTGAGAAACTTTTCAGGGACTCGTTTCCTTGCAAACTCGTTGAAGTGGTTCATGTTGCTAGATTCTCGAACCAATTTATATATTATAGATGCGTTTAGCGAGATTAGGATCGATCTTCCGCCTCTAGAGTCGCTCTTATCAAGTACTAGTACTATCAAACGTGTCAGAGATAAGGAATTTATAAGGGAAATAACAGGTTTTGACTACCCTCTCACTCTGAAAGCCGATATTATGAGAGGTAGACGACAAGACAGGAGAGTTCGTTGTCGTTTGGTTCGTCAACACCCCTCCTGGCATTTATGTAAGCTTTTGCAAGAAAGGGGATCGCTATTACACTGACATTCCGCTGCGTTATGAAGTCCCCAAGATGCTTCAGGGATTATATGATCTGGTACTCCGTCGTAACATTCAAATCCTAGACTTGTCTGGACAGGAAGGTTTTGTGGATGTCACTGGGAGTAATCCATATAAATTAATATCTATTGGTGGTGGATTTAAGGCCAATTCCAGCATTGTGGTGACAACAACAAGAGAAGTTTTGTTGGTCGAGAGCACTACTGTTGGAAAGAATAGGAGCTTCCACATCTACAACAAGGATCGTAATTTAAATCCAATAAAAGATTCTTAAGAACAAAACACTCTTTAAAGAATAACTCTCTTTGTATGTTTAGAAACTTTACTCAAAACT